GAAGTTGGGATATTTTTTTTATATATGGCAAAAGTTGAGGCATTTTTTTTATTCTCTCAAGTCTTTATGTTATTTACAATGAATATAACATTGTATAAAATTTAAAATAAGTCCATAGTTTTTGAATGATAAGAAAGTCCAGATAACCTGAGAAACCTATCGGGGATTTCCCAATCACCAACTAAAATAAATGAGAGTCAACTAATGTATGTCACACAGACGCATAGAGTATTTGTAAGGTCCAAAGTTGAGAACTAATTACATTCATGTGCCAGAAATACAACCTATAGAGCTGAGTCTTTTCGCTTTATACACAGCACAGAACCTTACCTTACCTGGATGTAACCCTAGCGGGTGTTTTAAAGAGTATCGTCAACATCGCCCATAGTCTTTTATGAAATGGAAGCTCACGAGATGGAAGCTCACGGGATGGAAGCTCATGATTAAATGAATATGTCGCTCGAACATATTTTATCAAATCAACTTCGTCCGGAAGTAAATGTAAAACCTCGGGGTTTTCGGGATGTATGTCCCGATAAAGTTTCAAAACTTCAGCCTCGAGTGCACTGAGATCCGTCGATTCCAGCCGAACTTGATCACTAATATCATTCTTAACACCAGTTGTATCCTCCTCAACTAATGAAACAAATTGCCCGCAGCTGCCAAAGTTAGACGTTCCAAATCGACAAATAAATGTTTTGAGAAATTGTACCTTTTGATTGAGCGTGATCTGACGGCTCTAGTCGGCGATGCTGGCTGTCTTGGGCTCTCCATCCAATGGACAGCCCTGCAGGTACATTTGCCGAGTCTTCGATGTCCTCGGTTATCGGCAATGTAACTCGTGACTTTTCAGAGTTAGTAGAGGAAGGAAACGCATCACACTTTTGCACGATGGCCAGAGTCACGATAAATGTCAACACCAACAGCGGCATATTCACAGTGTTTTGTGGCAAAAACGTCAAATTTAAAAATGAAGTGGGTAGCAACTGCCTATTTGAGACGTCCACGGGCATGCATGTCGACTTGTATACGCTATAGAGACGGTGATCTGATCTGCCATCGACGAATTATCTGTATACGAAGCCCGTCACTCAAAATTTCTACTGTATAATTAAAGGTACATAAAACTAGGTTCGTTTTTGGCATCATTTTCGCTGCTCACCAGAGTCAAAATTGCTTACGGAACAACGCTAGAGTAAGCTTATCCGCACATTTGATCTGGCCAAACATTGTCGTTGTCTGGACACTTTAATGGGTGCTGTCTTTGTTTGATCCAGCCGTCTGCTGTCCCGTGATTTCTTATAATTCATCTGCAGCCAGAACTGATTCTAGGAAAATTATCCGGTGAATTACGAAAAAATCGAATGAGGTCAGTCAATAATTTATGCAGGATAGCCATATCTTAAAACGACGTGGTATCAATACCACTAATCAGTGACCTATGTAATTTAAAAAGCTAAATTTATCATAATACACACTTTATCCACTTTGTGTACTTTTTGAGCGAGACGAATGTTATTCTAGACTTCCACAAACTCCAACTTGGGAAATTATTTTCCGCAGTCAAATTCCCACTCACCTGTTTTTTAGCACATGTGTTTATATTCAAAGTCATGTAACAAAAAGCTGTCGTAAACAACGCACTCTGCTATTTGAAAGTAAAAAGTAAAATCCTCACTTCGTACTACAACGGTGTACTGTACTATTGTTGCGCAATGGCTCAAAATTTAGTGGATGTCTGTACGAAAGTCACCACTTTTTGTGTAATTGCGAAAAGTCACAAGTAACAAAGTATTAGCATTTGGTGATGGTGAAATCCGTTTTGAAGAGGTTTGCGATACAGAGATGCACCAAAACAATTTTGCTATGAGATACTGTAAGACGTATATATTTTTTCCGGTAAAATAAAAAATTCGACCAGAAAAGTAGAAAAATAGAAACATTATACCACATATTTGAAATAAAAAACTACACCAAGTGTATACTACTTTGGGTATAGCTACGAAAATATATACAAATGTATGCATCCGAACATTAATGGGATAAAAAATGCATCACAAACTAGGCTATTACAGTGAGGGGACGTCATGTCTGGGGGAAAATGTAACGGGCCCTGATAGGAAGGGTGTGGGTCACACAAGATGGTGTGACCACACGATGGTGTGGCTACACTTAAACATGAATTCAGTACGTGGCTGAAACAGCCAGTAGCTATTCATTATATTAGGTTTTACTGTATAGATTGGAGAACCTATAGATTAAGATACAGGCGGCCTTGCCGCATATAAAACCGAGAAATACAAATTACTTTTTACACAGAGAGTTAATTAACCTTGGGATAAGGTTGTAGTTACATTTGGAGTAAGTGGATTGCGATCCGCTACACTCGTACAAGATCTAAGTATAGAACGAAGGTCACCGACTTTAACCAAGCTTCCTCAAAGCAGAAGAGCTACGGCAGCCCGCTGCGAAGACATGCTGCCTTAAACCACAGAGCAATTTAGACAAACCCCATTAAATTTCGCAGGTGAAGTTTGAACACACAATCAATTGTTTGACAGCCCCCACCATCACCCGATTGACCTATTTGCTAAAAGCAATTATGGTTCATACACTTGCCATTTAACCATCAATTGCTGTTTGTGTGGACTTTCAAAAGACATCGCTGCTCCATGTGCTCATGCACACATCGCATTGAGACATGCTGATGAAATTGATGATGCTGGAAGGTAATATCACCCTTCATGGAGGACATAAACATTTGCAGCAGCATATAGCGAACCTATTCTATCACTTACAATCAAGGATTATTTGCCAGCACGTGATTGCAAGCCTCCCAAATTTTAAAGAAGCGTGGAAGAACTAAGAAGAGTTGTATTCTGTCACAGCAGGCAACTGCCTAGCTAAAGAAACAGGTTGGTAGGCGCGGGTTTGCAAAATTGTGGGTCATAAGTCATTACAACAAAACCTGTGATGAGGCGTAATCTTACGGTTGTTTGGCAAATTATCTTCACATTAGAGATTATCTCCTAGTATTGCCATGTTCACAAGAGGTAACGATATTCTCATATGTCATTTCTCTTAATGCGCACTTGATGTATTCTTACACTGTTGTTGACATCACAATTATGTACTCATGTAAATATATACGTTACTATACTCGATGTAGTTTACACTAAGTATGATTTTTATTTTTATATTTATCTGGTAGATTTTTTATTTCCCCTACTTTAGATGCATTCGGCTCCACTTATAGGTGAAGCGTACGAATCCAACTTTGGAGCGTTTGTTAACGAGGATTTGTTTTGCAACCGTGTTGCCATGCGCTTCGCACAGCGGAAGCTCCGACTTGATGAGACAAGCCATCTTGCTCGGATGTTTCACAAAGTTCACAAATACCAAAATTTGTAAAACGCGTCTTTGGAAGGCCGAGATGTACTTCATACTGAAGGGATCACCAACACTCTGGCGGAACCGAGAGACTAGCCGAAGTCGCCGACGCATGCAGCAAGCGTTTACCCCGTAGACACGTGCGCACATACGTGTCCACCCACCTATGCATGTTGGTCTACCAACACGTAATGATTGCCGAGGAGTATGAATTTTTCTCGATGAAGCCACGCAGAGTGGTACCATGTATCTTGAACAGTGTTCTGCCCTTGAATATCTCACCGTGCGGCAACACCAAACGTGACAATCATGTCGATGAGCGATTAATGCAGCAGGCCCTGGCATAAAGCTCAGAAGTGCACGGTGCCACCGCGCACTTCAGTAAAGCGACTTCTTAAATCCTGACTGCATTGCTTTCCAATACCTTCCTCAGCGCAGCACATGCTGCGTCTGACCCGTACGCTATCGCTTGATCAATCGGCGAAGTTAACAGTCTTGTTATAATCTGTTAGAACGGTCATGACAACGATGCTGCGCACCGTATGATCTGAACAGAATATGAACGGCTTGGGGACACTCTGTGCTTGACGTGATTATAATTCCTTGCTAGGAGCTTCTTGACATATACAAAGTAGGTATTCTCGACTGCTTTGAAATGGCACAGCTTGAACGCGAATACACACCATTATCTGCTTGGAGTAAAGCACAGTCTGTGGAAAAAGTAGAAGCATCACAGACGGCATAAAATGGTCAATTTGAAGCATGCAATGCAAATCGAGGCACGCGTGAGACTTTCTTTCATTCTTTAAGGCCAACGCTTCAGCCGCACCCAGAACCCTTCGATTTCCTGATAAAGATGAGTGGTGGGAATTCGTGCCATGTTGGTGTAGTTTGTAGTATACTTGTGCAGTATGTTGGTCAGACCAAGTCAAATCTTTAAACATTTTTGATACAGAACAATTCAAAAATGAACTTTATCTTCGCGGAGTGTGCTCGCATGTCCTCCATCCAGATGATTTAATCCAGGCCAGGGATTTTGACGGCGCCAAAAACAAATTTGTCGAGGAAAGAGAATAGTTTTGAGGTATACACACTTGATCGCCGCTCACAAGGGAATCCCACATCCAACCCCGGGCATTGCATTACTATGGCAAACAAATCATTAAGATTTAGCTTTGGGCCTGGCCATGGTGTGACGTGAATAGCTGTATCATCAACTCACGTTTTGTGTCCGGAAGCCGAACGGCAAGTGGCTATCGTTCGCGCTTATAATGTGCTAAACGCCGTCACCATTCCGGAACAAACGACAATTACTAGAAAAGATGATCTTCAGAACAATATGGTTGGTTATACAAAGTACTGCGCAGACCCAGACTCTCGAGGTCTTCCGCACAGAGGAAGGTTATCTCAGAAAGATGCTCGGCAGAATGCCAATGATGACGAACTTTGTCCACAAAGCTTGAAGGACATCGCGAGTTATCAGACAGCGATCGACCAAGTCATCGTGGTCCGCCGCCGACTCTTCTCGATGAGAATGGTTGCGTCCACTACCATTGTGGGTTGACGTCGTCGACAGGGTCGAACCCAATGTCTTGTAAAGTGGCGGGAATACCCAAACTCCGAGATCTTGTGGGAGTTTGAGATACCACTTTGGCAAGACTGCCTCGATGTCGTGGACGCTTATAATCAGAAGTATCATGACGCTCCGTGTCGTCGTGCGGCCCACCCTTCTCGGCGGTAGCTCGGGAAGCCGGAGGGCCATGATCTGCGCTCAGGCTATGAACCTGAGATGCTGTGGTCGTAGACTCACCCGTGTGAGGTACTACGGAGCTTGCGGGAGCGTTATGGGATGTTCCATATGTCGCAGAGCGACAATACGCAGGAAGACGGCGTTGCGCCTTGAGTTTGGAAAAATCAAATCGGAGATGGCGCTCAACGCGTTCGTCAACTTCCCAGTGGCTTTCCTGTAAGTTAAGTTAAACAGCGAGAAAATTTTCTGGTGCCGCTGTACCCATCGCTCAAAGAGCCCCTCACCATTCGCAGCGGTTTCGCCGAGTCGAGCACCACAGTACTAGTCCGCATTGCGGGTACAGGAGTGCCCCCACTTTGAGCGCGAAGTCGAGCGCGGTACTGATCCATTGGGATCATTTGTGGTACCAAAACGCGAGCTTGGAGAGCTTTCCGCTGCTTAAGCTCAGCTTGTTTAGTGGTCAAAGGCCCGACTACGTTGGCGCCTAACGATCTAGTGATCGCGTCTTTCGCTTCAGTAGCGGGACCCACCGAGCGAAAGCCGTACTCCTCACGAGGGTCTAGTACCGCCCGTGGATGCAAGCATTTAGAGCCGCCCTGTGGATAGTCTCCAATTGATGCTCCTGTGTCTCGACTTGGCGATTGGTAATAACATCACTTCTCCCGAAAACCAAGAGGTCGGAGAACGGACACGGTGTCCGCAAGGTTCGAGCTGGGCTCACGTCGTGACGTTGGCGCATTTCATCCTTCTCGTCTTTCCATGCTGGGAATTGAGTATCCGAGTCGTAGAGAACTTCAATACGAATCCTTGACGAGGGACTTCATCGCCCGGACGGGCGCGGATTTTGACGCGCGGGGGCCGAGGGCTAAGGAT